GGAGGAGGAAATGGACGGACCCCGAGAGGGAGGGCAGGCTAGCAGAGATTGTTTGAGGAAATGGACGGACCCCGAGAGGAGGGCAGGCTAGCAGAGATTGTTTGAGGAAATGGACGGACCCCGAGAGGGAGGGCAGGCTAGCAGAGATTGGAGGAGGAAATGGACGGACCCCGAGAGGAGGGCAGGCTAGCAGAGATTGTTTGAGGAAATGGACGGACCCCGAGAGGAGGGCAGGCTAGCAGAGATTGTTTGAGGAAATGGACGGACCCCGAGAGGAGGGCAGGCTAGCAGAGATTGTTTGAGGAAATGGACGGACCCCGAGAGGAGGGCAGGCTAGCAGAGATTGGAGGAGGAAATGGACGGACCCCGAGAGGAGGGCAGGCTAGCAGAGATTGTTTGAGGAAATGGACGGACCCCGAGAGGAGGGCAGGCTAGCAGAGATTGTTTGAGGAAATGGACGGACCCCGAGAGGAGGGCAGGCTAGCAGTGATGCTTCAGGAAAAAATCGTCCTCGTGGATTTCGTGTATTAAGGCTTTCCGCGCACTCCGAGTCATGCCTCCTTTTTGCAACATGATTTTTCTCACAATCACTGCCCTCCTTTTTATGCAAAAACCTATGCGTCCGGAAAAGGCTTTTCGATACTGGGCCCTAGACCCAAAAATGGGTCCCCTGGGCCCTATGATGTCAGTCTGGCCCCGGGAAATGTGGTCCACTATTTTTGCGTTCCGGCAGTAGAGAGCTAAAGCAAAAAAGTGGGGACCACCCGGAATTGGGTCCCGAATCTTAATTTTGTCATACTTATTAAGTTAAATAATTAAATATAATAAAGTTAATTTTGTCATACGCACACAAACACTATTTTTTTATATATAGTAGGTTTGTTTAAAAAGCTGGTTTTAAACCGGAAAACGTTAAAGACGATAGCAGTGCGTAATTAAACCAGTCGTATAAGAAAATTTCAAGCTATGGAATTTGGTGTTTCACTTGCGAAGCCCTACGATGTGTAATTAGTAGAAGTACTACGTGAGGCCTTGCATCGCAAATTAATGATTTCATTCCCATTCATGCCCGCATTAATCGCAAAAATTATAAAACACCGAATGAAATTGGTTTTATTTTGTGCAAAATAAACTTTTTGATTCGTTTTAGGTATTAAAATTGTTTTAATTCCGGTTTGGTATTTTAAGGATATTTCCAGAATGTGTGTTTCATTTACCTGACGCTACCGTTTTATCGAGATAAGTTTAATGGTCTGACGATTAGGGGGTGAATTGCATCTCATGGCGCCGAAAAATTAACGTCAATCTTATTGAACTCCAGCATACTAATTATTAGCTTAATATAACCTCTTTAAAGGGGCTCGGAAGTCAAAATTCGCGCGTGCGGGGGTTGAACCCACTGGTCAAAAAACAAAAGGATCACTGCCGAGAAGTACCAGAAAAATTATTTCATTATGAAAAATACAAATATATTTGAGTAAAAAAAAATTATCTCGGGGGCGAAAACGACGTTTTGATCTCGCTGCGATTACATGTCGTAATTCCCTGTTAGGCACCCAATCTCTCGATCTGGGTGATTTTCTCATCATTTCTCATAATTAAAACGTCTAGAATAATCAAAATTCGATGAGTATTCCCGCAATAGCTTCGAAATTCTCAAATTCAAGCGTTTTCACGTCCAAAGAGCGGCCAAAGTTTATGCGGAGCGGTCGCGTTGCGGTCCCATCTGGCTGTTTGCCAGGAATCAACGCAGGGGGCAAGGACCAGATTTCGGAGCCCCTTTAAATGCATCTAATCTAGCGATCAAATTTAAGGTAATTTCAGGCAAAATATCAAATTTTTAAATAATAGGGTTCATTGGCTTGGCATTATCAATTTATCCGAAAAAGATCTACTTAAACAGTTACCGTGAAAACTGCCTCTATTAATGCACCGAATCAATTATATCAATGCTACAATTATCACATTGCTTTTTGAATTGAGCAGGATACTGTACGCTTTGCAGGCAGCCAGCCCAGGTATTAAAATTGTAATTTTTAGTCATATTCCAAATTTTGTTTTCAAAAAGTTGTGTTTCATTTTCTTGGCGCTATCAACTCGGCGACATTTAATTAATCTATGGAAGGGTGAAGTTGCGCCTATTAATGCGTCTAACTAATTTAACGATACGATTTTAACTCACCATTTTAAATTAATCATATTACTGTACGCGTTCGAGGCATTAGACTCATTTAGAAATGGAACTTTTAAAAAATATGTTAAAAATTGATGTTTGATCATTTGCCGCTATTCACGACTCAGAAATATATTTAATGTGTCGTAGAGTTCAACCAAGCTATGAAAATGACCAATTTTTTTTCTTGAATTTTCATGAACGTTTTTTAATAATTCTTTTTTAGTTAATTAATTTAATAATTTGTTTTGAAAATCAAACTTTTAGTTTTTCTTCGTTTAGAGGATATTCCTGATTTCCGATAAGACCATTTTTCGATCGGGGGGTTTTAGGTGATTTTCGCCTAAAAGCTTCCACTAAATCACTTAAATATAGTGTATTAATTATGATTAACATACCAGTTTCAGACAGCCAATCGAGAGACGCGGCTCGCGCACTCGTCTCTCCGGAAGTGTCGATCATATGGGCCAGGTCCAGGGCAGAAGGTACCTTACTAGAGCGTTGTTATTCTCCTTGAAAATTTTTACTCCTCATTATGCTTCATTCAATCAGATAAAATTCAATCTAATCCAAATCTAATCAAACTCAGTTGAAGCTAAATTTGTTGCTCGGTTAGTTAAATAACGCTAACAAGTTTTCAATAAAAACCACACAAAGGTGATTTTTAATTTTTCTGAAAAAAATGTTTCAAATTTGCTAGGAAACAACAAAAAGGTACCCCAATTAATTTTTGTTTGGCACCATCAATGATTAAAAAATTAACCAATGTTACCGTAGAGTAGAACCGTCTCTTTTTATGCGTGCTATTTTTAATGATAAAATAGCTAAATGTTTTAACTTGAACAGAAATCATCCTTTTTGGATGTGGTTCGTGGCAGAATGTTTCAAAGTTATGTAAAACCCGAGAAATAATTGGAATATATCACTCTGATCCGTCTACGACTAAAATTAAATTTTAAAGAAGAAGCTAAGAAAATGAGAAAAACCTGTATCTCAGGTTCCAGACTTTCGCGCTTCCGGTTCTCTAAAAAAACAGATTTTTCGGGTCAGATGTTTCAAATTTTTTGACAACCCGTAAAAAATTAAATGGTGATGTTAGTTGTAAAAAAAGAGAACAATTTTTGCGATTCGAATCATTGAAAATTGCGTTCATTGAAATAAAAAGTGTTTCGATGAAAATAATTAACAAATGATGCAGTGTGAGGATAATCCTCTGAGGAGCAGCAGAATTTTTAAATCAGACACTTTAACTATATTTACCGCATTTTTAGCCAATTTTAGTAACAAAAAAAATCACCAAAATGTTAGAAAGCTTGAAATTAACTTTATAAAACTCATCGATACACTATCAATAAACGCTACACGTCAATTCACAGATCGAGCCGCGCCACACTGCACGTCGGGGAGAACGGAGAGGCCGGGATGAGCGTCCAGGAGCAGCTCAAGCTAACACCGTAATTTTTAGTTATTCAAAAAATGGCATATTTAGTCTTATTGTATGTATTAGCAACATTTCGTTTTTCGAACGACTTTAAAGTTACAAAGAATTAAAAATAAAGTTTTTTAGATATCAATGCCAGCTGCTCCAGTCGACGTGGACAAAGATCAAGTCGAGCAACAGCACGTTTACACAGATATTCAAGTGAGTGGGGGCCAGCTAGCAGAGATTGTTTGAGGAAATGGACGGACCCCGAGAGGAGGGCAGGCTAGCAGAGATTGTTTGAGGAAATGGACGGACCCCGAGAGGGAGGGCAGGCTAGCAGAGATTGTTTGAGGAAATGGACGGACCCCGAGAGGAGGGCAGGCTAGCAGAGATTGTTTGAGGAAATGGACGGACCCCGAGAGGAGGGCAGGCTAGCAGAGATTGTTTGAGGAAATGGACGGACCCCGAGAGGAGGGCAGGCTAGCAGAGATTGTTTGAGGAAATGGACGGAGCCCGAGAGGAGGGCAGGCTAGCAGAGATTGTTTGAGGAAATGGACGGACCCCGAGAGGAGGGCAGGCTAGCAGAGATTGTTTGAGGAAATGGACGGAGCCCGAGAGGAGGGGCAGGCTAGCAGAGATTGTTTGAGGAAATGGACGGACCCCGAGAGGAGGGCAGGCTAGCAGAGATTGTTTGAGGAAATGGACTGGACCCCGAGAGGAGGGCAGGCTAGCAGAGATTGTTTGAGGAAATGGACGGACCCCGAGAGGAGGGCAGGCTAGCAGAGATTGTTTGAGGAAATGGACGGAGCCCGAGAGGAGGGGCAGGCTAGCAGAGATTGTTTGAGGAAATGGACGGACCCCGAGAGGAGGGCAGGCTAGCAGAGATTGTTTGAGGAAATGGACGGACCCCGAGAGGAGGGCAGGCTAGCAGAGATTGTTTGAGGAAATGGACGGACCCCGAGAGGAGGGCAGGCTAGCAGAGATTGTTTGAGGAAATGGACGGACCCCGAGAGGAGGGCAGGCTAGCAGAGATTGTTTGAGGAAATGGACGGACCCCGAGAGGAGGGCAGGCTAGCAGAGATTGTTTGAGGAAATGGACGGACCCCGAGAGGAGGGCAGGCTAGCAGAGATTGTTTGAGGAAATGGACGGACCCCGAGAGGAGGGCAGGCTAGCAGAGATTGTTTGAGGAAATGGACGGACCCCGAGAGGAGGGCAGGCTAGCAGAGATTGTTTGAGGAAATGGACGGAGCCCGAGAGGAGGGCAGGCTAGCAGAGATTGTTTGAGGAAATGGAAACCCCGAGGGTACCGACTTTTCTTGGGCCCTGATTGGGGAATATTGGATCGAAGCGAAAGACGTTCATCTGGTCCACTATTTCGGCGGATATGCGCACTTTTGCCCGAGATGGTGAGAGCCTTGGGAAACGGAGGCGGTCCCGGTCGGCAGCGCTGCTACGCGCGGTAATTGCCTGACCCTCGTGATACTCCCGCTCCCCTGTGCTCAAGCCCAACCGAAGTCCCGATAATCGCGAGTATCGCGGAGCTCGGAGCCGTTGCCACCACTCCGGCAGGCTTGTCGGCAGTGGCTGGCGCGTGCGGGCAAATTTTTGGAAAGCGCCCGTCCGGGTGCCCTAGTCTGGCTCTGAGAAGGTTCGAAATCTGGAGTTTTTGGAATTTTCATTGTTATTTAAAGGGATCCACTGACCAAGGCCACGATTTTGACCTCGATCTGGGTGCCTGACCTGGGTGCCATCTGCCATCCTATTTAAAGGGATAAGGAAGGCCCAGCAGATATAATTGGCCACGAGCCAACCGGAAATGCTAATGCCACAAAATGCGCAGAGGTAGAAGCAGCGCAGAAAATTTATTCGAATTTTAGAACTCAAAATGCTAATTTAGCTGGTCCTTCCCGACCCCCCCTTCCATAGCGGTATTTTTCGAATATTTTGAAGCATATCCTGCCAACTTGGTTGGTCTCTGGCCTTGCGAATCAGCAAAAACGATGCCGATCCGACATTCCAGGCACTTGTCTAGCATGCAAGCACTCAGCGCACCAGCGAAAGCCGCCTATCTGGCCCACTAATTTTTTACATAAAGGGTGGCCACTCGAAGACGTAGGAATTCTCGAAATCCCCCGGATCAGGGTTGGCCGAGGTTACTGTGCCACCCTCGATCCTACAACCGTTTACGGGCGGCGGGCAGAGAACGTTGCTCCGTATTCGGTACACTGGGTCTGAGCGTTCATTCCGCGTGCGTGAACGTATATTTCCCATTATAATGGGGGCGATCGATCCTAACGGTCTTTCTCCCCTTTTCGGAATCCTGGTAATCCCGGGTATCCGCGAGAGTTCCGAGCCGTTGGCCTACCAAGGCAGCCCGCGTGCGACAAATTTTGGAAAGCGCCCTTCGGGGTGCACTAATCTTTAGGGGTTCACCATGGTAGGCTTATGTAAAGTGGTTCAGCATACAAAATTTAATGGGATGCCGACGCCATAGTCAATCGGTTACGCGCTGAAAAGAAAATGTCTCTGCGCCTCTCCACAGGGCGCGCTCTCTGCCATGTTGGCTACTTGCCAAATTCTTGATGGGGGATCGACACCAGCCGTCGGCAGCCCTTTAGGGGTTCGGGAAGTTCGAGAAACTGCTCGGTCAAAAAAACTAAAAAGAACGAAAGCAGGGAAGCGAAACAAAGTGGCGAAATCCGACGTCGTACGGTTCGTTGCGAAGGTCTAATACATATTCTCAAAAAAATATTAAAATTTAAAATAACCCACAGGTTCATCGCGGGTTACAGAATTTTCAAATTTACACTTTTCCATGCCCAAACAGGGCTATCGAACCTGGCAATTTGTCAGGAATCAACGCTCGACCAGACTTCTTTGCCCGTTTTGCATGTTTCGAAATCCACCGTCTAATTTTTAAGAGTCTGCTCCGTTCAAAACTTGAGATTCTACCGTAATATTACAGTTTTGGAACGAAAACGAAAGTCGGCGTGGTCGGCGTGATCTTGGCGCTTTCTTGACAAATTTGTCATTTGCCGTACAAAATCCGGAGTACAAGCGAAAGCCGCCCACCTGGCCCACTGTTTCAACTCATAGACAGGCAACTTCCCGACTCGAATTAGGAGTCGCTCTCCGGGACTTGCTGTCTGCACGAGGCTCGTCCAGGCGCCTCAGTTGTGGTGGCACCGCACGAGGTAGTGGCTTTTGGATTGATCTCTGATCTCCAGCCCGCCGTCCGGGAGTTCCGATAGTGCATTGGACCCCGTCGGAAACCCGGTAACCCCGGCGAATTCCGATCCCTCGTCGCCGCTAATTGCGCGGTTAGCGGTGGCCTGGGACGCGCACAAATTTTTGGAAAGCGCCCTTCGGGGTGCACTAATGATAAGAGAATTCGTCTCAGGGGCCATCCCTCTCTTTCTCTCGCTCTCACTCTCTATCTCTCCTTCGCTCTCCCTACTCGCCCTCGCTCTCGATCTCTCCCATATAAGAAAAATATATATTTCTTTACTCAAACCGCTGAAACATTATTGCTTCGTCAGCGCAAATGACGACCAGGATCAGTGCTCCCTGCCAAACCAAAAAAAACCCAGACCTGGCCCACTGATTCAAGATATATCTCAGAAAATTCTGGGCTCAGTGTGTTGTGTGTGTGTGTGCCCACGGAGCTGGCGATCCCGGACCGTGATTTCGCTTCATTTATTGAAGCTAACATTTGCTAAAATGCGAATTTTTGGAAAGCGTCCTTCGGGGTGCACCAGTCGACCTGTAATCGCTAATACAGGCATGTTAAATAAAAGTTTAAATCCTAATTTCCAGGCTGTTCTGCTTCAAGTCGTCACTAGCGCGCGAGATCTTCCAAAAGCTCAGCATCGTCGAGGGGTTCAAGTCGGACGGCCGCTGCGATCTGGCCATGCACGCAAAGGTGAGACACGTCCTAATATAATCATTTTGTTTCATTTAAAGTTGTATAATCTGAAATTTTTGAATGGTATGTTGCTCTCAGGATTCGAACGAGTATTAAGTTCACTGTAAATTTCAACAACACATAGAGTTACGAAACACATTTTTAAATACCACCGGTTTTTTATTGCTGGCACGTTTCCCCGTTTTCTTCTGGACATTAAGTAAGAAAAGCAAAAAAAATAACCGCGATCCATTTAAACGAGGATACGAATTACGATACTGCCATTTTTAAAACGTTAAAGCCTAGCATACCTCTATTAAACTCTTCCAGATCCCAGGAAACCCGAGGACTTTCGAAACATACTGAAGAATATTTCATTTCTTTTGAACGCCAGCGCTAGTAAACCTAAACCGAAACTAAATAATGCCCGAATTTAGTTGGTCATAATTATTTTCGATCCATAATACCAAAAAATTTGAACAGATGTGCTGGAACGAACATTAAATGCAATGAGAATGCGATATTAATGCTATAATGAGAATAATGAAATTTTTGGTTTTTCCAGGTTTTTAATTTATTTCATTTGCTGTTACTTATTGTTTTAAGTGAGTTCGACTACCAAAATTAGTAACATAATTAAATAGTGGTTTTAGATAGATTAAAATAAATGAAATCCACGATTTCAGACACTCTGCGACCTGCTCGACGCGATTTTGGGCGATTTGGGACAGCCGGCTAAGGGGGTCGAGGTAACTTTAAGGTTTTAATTATTATTTCAATCAACTGGCTTCAAAGCGAGCTGCAAGAAAATTTCAAAAACTAATTTATCCTTTCTAATTCGCTAAATATTTTTTTCCGGCAAAATGCACGGAAATCGGATCGCTGCACCACAACATGAACGAGACGGCCGCCGGCGCATTATGGGAATCGCTGGGAGAATGCATGGCTGAGGTAATTTTAAGTCTATTTTTGTATGTATTTATTGTCCGTGATTTTAGATCTACTGACCATAAATACCGCTTTTTTAGTATTTTCCAAAACGATGTTTTGCAAAATTATTCATCCGAAAGGTTTATCTCTAACATAATAACCCCTCATTTTTCGACGCTTCTCTTGCCAAGAGTTTTTCCCTGACTTATTGATTAGTTTACTGTATCCTTACTAATTAATATATTTAATAATTCGGAAGAAGTTTATCTTCTTTAAAACAACCTACATTAGGTGCTTTTTAGGTAATCACCAAGGTCGACTGTGTACGGTCGAAAAGAGAAGCTGGAAAAGCCTGGATCACCGTCATTTCCTTTATGGTAAGTGGGCAGGCTAGCAGAGATTGTTTGAGGAAATGGACGGACCCCGAGGGGAGGGTAGGCTAGCGGAGATTCATGTAAAATTTGGCGCATCTTGTTGTAGCTTTCTGCATTTTTACAAAAAAAGTGTTTTATTCATGTTTTAGGTGATCTGTCTTCGGCTTTTGGTATTGGATCAGCGTGTATATAAAATTTCTATAGCTCCTTTTCCAGGTGGACACGATGAAGAGCGGCTACCAGAGCGAATATCGTAAGCATCACGCCTCGAGGAATTCGATTTCGCGCCCATCCTGCGAACGCGTCAATCAATGAGAAATTTGATTGGGTTGAGTTCCAAAAAAGCATCGTTTTTAAACCTTGCAGCCCAATCTTAAAATTTGAATTGAATTGCTATAAATTCTATGCTTTTGTATTTTTCGAAATGTTTTGTTTTCATGTTCATTTAATTCCCTATCTCTGCAAACAAATCTCTTTTTGAAATACGGGCCCCAGCTCCTCTTAAATACCATTAGAAAACTCCCCTCAAGATAATATCAATCTCATTTGCATCTCAAAGTCGTTTCGATTTTCAGAGCATATGAATTCTTCCGTAAACAAATATTTTTATCCTATTTAATTCGTTAATTTTTGTGTATATAAAGGGATTTTCAAAACATGCTGAACGATTCCAAATGCCTTACATTAAAGAAGGCTGTTTTACCCAACAGATGCATCGAGTTGAAACACAGTTTTTTTCGTCAATTAGAGCCGGCTTTTGAAAGTCTCCAATTTGGCAGCGGTTCTTTAGATAGTGGCGGATGCCGAGAAGAGGGCAGGCTAGCAGTGATGCCTTAGGAATTCTCAACTAATTGTTGTGCCATTTGCATCTCAAATGCTTATCGATTATTTGTGCGATTTTGTATTTGTATTCTACGACCTTATTTAATTCGTGAATTTTTGTGCATATAAATGGTTTTTGAAAGCAGGCTGAAAGCTTCTCAACGAACCATACATTAAAGAAGATTTTTTCGCCCAATAAATGCATCGAATTGAAACACAATATCCGTTGTTACCTAGAGCCGTGCTTTCGAAATTCAGTTTGGCAGCGGAGGTTCTTTAGATAGTGGCAGATGCCGAGAAGGCTAGCAGTGATGCCTTAGGAATTCCACAATTCCATTTTTACTTTCGAAAAAATTCTTTACCTATACTCCGTCCAATTTCTCTAGGCTTACTTGGTTCAACTTTGAAAAAAGCATGCTTCAAGAAATTTCTTTGCGCGGCCTCCTGTGAATGCGTCAATGGAATGCATACTTTGCTTAAACTTTAGAGCCCGATCAAATCGAACATTTTGAGCGTTAGTTACGTTTGAATACCTTTCGTAAATGTATTTCTCAATCCATTTCAAAACCTGCTTTTTCTTGGTTACAAATAAATATAAATATCTATATATATCTTATCCACAACAAAAAAAAATCGTTTTTGAAATACGGGCCCCAACTCCTCTTGAATACCTTTAAAAAGAACTCCTTTAAGAACTCCGCTTAACTTGACCTGAGTAAATCACCGATTTAAAGCACTTTTTCGGTATTTTATCACGTTTAAATTTTTACCATCATTTTAAGATTTCGATATTTTGCGTATATACAGGGTGTCCCAAAAAAAACCCCCCCTACCTAGCGGTCCGCAGTCGATTCCGATTTTTACGATTTAGGTATCTATCGAAAGCTCCCGAAAAGGCGAGAAAACAAGGAGGGTTCATTTTCTTTATTATGCATTTTTATTCGCTAATTTTACGTCCAAAAACCATGAAAACTGCTAATTTGTGCAGGATCTGCATGCTAATTGCGAAATTCCTGTTGAAAAAGTACCAGTTTTTTTAGAAAAACCTTAAATATCGATGGAATTAGATTAAATCTTAGAAAACGAGACCCGCTTGTTTTCTCGCCTTTTCGAGAGCTGTCGATGGGTAGTTAAATCATAAAAATCGGACTTGACTGCCGACCGCTAGGTAGGGGGGGTTTTTTTTTGGACGTTTTTTTTGCAGGGTGTACATCGTTTTAGCAAAGCATGAAAAACCAATCGGAAGTTGTCGCATTGAAGATGACTTTTTCGCGCAATAGATGCAGTGAGCTGAAACACATATTTTCTTGTTCGATAAAGCAGATCAAGAGAACAAGGCAGGTTAGCAGAGATGCTCTAGGAAAACCCAACTAAGTTGCTGCACGGTTAAGGCCTCCTGAAAAATGTGCTTTTTGGTTTAATTTTTGGACGCTTTTACTTAAAAGGAATTGGCATTGTCAGCGCAAAATATGTAAATTCTGTCAGAGCAATTTCGATCTACAAAAGCCCTATGAATAAATCGTATTTTCCACCTTTTTGCCTTTTGAATTCTTATGAATCAACACACTCATATTTTAAAGGGATCAGGACTAGGCGAGGTCAGACCTGTAAGTCTGATCTCGCCTAGAATTCACATTCCCCTAAACGCCATTCAGCATTCTCTCTATACCTCTTGCCACTAAAATTCTTGTCGATTTATCTGTACGCTATTTTGTTTGTTCTGTTGTTTGTTCCATTTTCAATATTTTTCTCTATCGAAATACATACTTTTGCGCAATATCATCATTATTCAGTTATAAACTTGTAATTAACGAAGATTTTTGTGCAACGGAGGGCAGAGTGATGAAACAAATTTTTTTCGGTAGAGCGCCAAACTTCTTGGAACCGAAATTAAGACAATAACGAAAAATCACGCAACGAAGACTAGAATAAATCGTGCCTCTCAGTGTCTTTACCTTTTTAATTGTCTTCATGCTATCCACCGGGATCATATTGTGATGGTCATACTCTGCCTTAATGTAAAACTATATAAAACACAGTTTTTCAATAATGCTATCGACAATTAGAAACGCTGGACCCCGAGAGGAGGGCAGGCTAGCAGAGATTGTTTGAGGAAATGGACGGACCCCGAGAGGAGGGCAGGCTAGCAGAGATTGTTTGAGGAAATGGACGGACCCCAAGAGGAAGCAGGCAAGCAGAGATCCTGTGCCGGAATGTGCTCATCGGTCACCCGAGTTTTGATAAACCGCCTGGCTGCTGCCCATTCCGGCCCCGTTATCAGCCATTTCCATGTCCCCAAAACGGGATTATGGCACCTCAAAAATACACAACCCCCCTCGGAGCTTCTTCCGCCCCCCAGAGTTGGTGTCTTTTATCTCACCATTTTGAAGCGGTCCCTCTCTTCCCTCGGTTCGACCGCAAGTTTATCGATTTTTTTCGGGCGACCTACCTACCAGATTCGAATTAATGTTTCGTTATTATGAGAGAACCTCGGATTTTGAGCTGTATTAATGTCAAGATGTTCTGGTAAACGGAAATTACGCGTCAACAGGTCGATTATTTTTTCATGCTAATTTAGTTTGTTTTTGCGTGTTAATGGCAAATTATTCTCATACCGGGTGTCCAAATAAAAAACACCACCTCTAACTCGACATAGAAGTATCGGAACGGCAGGATGGTGATTTACGGAACGTTATCTTATAATACATTTTGTAAAATTTTGCGATTTTTTGGTTGCACACGAGCTGATTTGCCTGACTTCCACCAAGCGGAATTACCGGTAGTAGTCGTCAATTGTATGCAGGGGCCGTGCCTTAATGTTTTTAAATTCGCAATTAAGTGACGTGTTTAAATACAAAAACATGTTTTTGAAGATCGTTGCCAGCTCTCCGTTTCGAATCGAATGCTTGCTTGAGTGGCCTTTAATCATGTAACTATCATTCCGATTAGAGGGGTGTTTTTTATTGGGACTCCCTGTAATTGCAGGCGTGCCTACTGACGGAATAGTAAATATTTTAATAGGCGTTTTACTATGATTTCACTGTACCTTAAAGAATTTGCAAACGGAAAATTTGCAAATCCCGAACGACGACATAATCAAAATACAAATCAATCCATATGAACACCAACCCAAATTTTCCCCTTGCACGCCTTCCCGATGTTCGGATATCAGCGCGCTCCTGGATTTTCCCAGGTGCGCTTTCAAAAATTTGGTCAGGGGGGTCCAGACGCCGTTTCGACGTCTGCTCGAGCTCCCCAAAACCGAGGTCCCGGGATCGCCGGATTTTTATTTTAACCAAGGTTCTCCAGTTCGGGTTTGCCTATGACTTGGTGTAGTGGGCCAGGCAGACGACTTTTTCTGCAGGCGCCCGGTCTTGCAAAAATCGACCCAGTACGGTACGGGAATGAACAATACGGTCACTGTATATAAACTACTATGCCCATCGTCTATCGAAGTCGTATAATTGTATCGTCGTATAATTCCGTAGCGTGTCGTACTTTCTTGGAATTGCTGTATCGCATGGAACAACATAGGTATTGGGATCAAGGTTCCAACATCAATAAGCACATCAAATGCCGCGCGATCCCAATGGGGGCTGAAAGATTTTTAAAAAACCTGAAAATTGGTTTTCAAAATTATTTATTTTCAAAAATTTTAAATATCTGCTGGCTCCATACTTATTTTATTATCGCCGAACAACAGTATAATTTTTTCTTTTTAGTAGTCGTTTATTCAATGTTATAAAAAAGTAAATTCTGATGTTTTTATTAAAGACTACCTTTATAGAGCTAGTAAATTAATCTAACTTAAATTCATTTCTCGCCACTTCTGTCTATTTTCATTTTCTTTTCTTTAGATAAATAATACGTTTCAATATATTGTCTAGTTTTTCGCCTTTTGTGCATGCCATTGTATACTTGAGTTTAGTTCGACTGGAACCCCCTCCGAGAATTCCGCCAAAATTACGCGCCCCCGGCGATGGATATTGATTTTGTTGACGGTATGCTGCTTCGTACTTGCCGGTGACGCCGGCGGAATTTTGCTGCACAAGCTATTCTGCTCCAACGAGAGGTGGGAGGAATTTAGAATAAAATTTAAAATGTATTTCTAAGATACAGTAATAGTACCCGGAAAATGCATATCCACCGCAGATTGAAATTAATCCCGCAGCGTCATTTTTTTATAAGAGAATATGAAACACACCTTACGAAAATTCCAGTTTTGAGAGGTTGTTCATACTAATCATTAATATTACTCAAATTATGAAAATCTATTCTTAAGGCCTAGGGTATGAAGCAATAAAAAATTTTAGGAACTGAATTTCAGTTTCCAGACTAGCTATCTAGTTTTTGTTACTTGCAGTTACATAATTTCTAAAGATTATTTGACTGATTAAACTGATTAAATAAGATTAAACATTTGAAACAGATTTTTTGCAGAAAACAAGACTATTTCGCCGATAGCGTGCAAAAATTCTGACATCTGCAGTTGCTGAAGATTGATGCCATCTGTGAGGCGGCGTCTTGAAATAATGTAGCACACTTTTTTTTAAATTTATAGCCTATTAAAGCGACAGTCAGGCCGGCGTGGCAAATCAAAAAAAAATGGGTGCATCAAAAAATATATTATTAAAGTGCGATTAACCGGATCGTGGTCAACATTAATTCAGGACAGCCATTTCGTCAACTGGAAATTGGAAATTGCCGCTGCCATTCCATCCAAAGGAAACACATTTTTGCTTCGCTTTGCCTTTATAATTAGTTCTCATATCTAAGGCAAATTGCTCAAAATTCGATGAAAAACCTAATTTTTCCTTACTGGCTTAGCTTACTCTAATTTTTTCATGGAAAAATGCTAACAATCAACAATAAACCTTGCCACCTCACAAAATCCATTTTGCAAAAATTTTTTTAATTCAGTGAGAAAGCCACGCTTTTAACCACTCTTTTTAGAAGTGGCTGCTTTTGCCAGCCGAGCCCTCGAAATGTGCGTTGCTGCTGCGTCGGCCGGGACGTCAGCGAGCTGTCTGCGAATATGAGCACCCGCGTCAAAACTCTGTAAGTTTTTACTTGCAAAAAGATGCTTCATGGCAAATTCCTATTGCAATATCATCGCAAATCACTAATCATTGTGTAAAAAGCACCTTCTGTAAAAATTATGTTTCAAACTTGCTCGACTTTAAATAGTGCAACAATCATCGGGTTGTCTTTACCTAAATAATCTCTGCTAGCCTGCCCTCCTCTCGGGGTCCGTCCATTTCCTCAAACAATCTCTGCTAGCCTGCCCTCCTCTCGGGGTCCGTCCATTTCCTCAAACAATCTCTGCTAGCCTGCCCTCCTCTCGGGGTCCGTCCATTTCTTCAAACAATCTCTGCTAGCCTACCCTTTTTAGTATCATTTACAACACCTCAATCACGACAATCGACGGTTCGATCTTTGATCGATATCGAAATCTGGAAGAAATGTGAGTTTCATCAAAAATAGTTCGAAGCGATGTTTAATGACCATAATTATAACAAGAATTATAATCGTTGTAATCTCTCATAAAATCTGTTTCTAGCGACATTTCCCACCTCGACCATCTGACCTCCTTCAACGCGTCCGCCGTGCGGAACCTCGGAAATTTGCGCAAATTGTGAGTTTCAGGGATGAAAGAGGGGGAATTTTGATAAAATCGTGAATTTCTGATGTCTGATTTAGGTTTACCCAGACTCTTGTCGCGTTTAATTCCACATGCGTTTTTTAAAATCAGCCATAGAATTTTTGGGATTTTTGAAACGGTAAAATTCAAAATGTGGACTCGCTAGGTATTTCGGTCAGAAATGTATGCAGCATGACCAAAAAGCTCCAAATATCGTATTTACAGAGATGTTCTTGGTGATTTTCTAACAATCAGAGCGCTACTGAGAACGTTATGAATACACACAATTTTATTATTAACATTTATTGATAGGCAAAAAAACGAACATTCATCCCCCCCCCCCCCGCTAACAGCCCAGTACCCTGTAGACGTCTGCGCATATAAAAAAAGCGAATAGTCCGAAATTATTTACGGTAATAACCTAGAGACTCATTGTTTCGGGGAAACATACAAATTTCAACGTTCGGAACTTGTCGATCTGGATGGTTAGGCTCTAACATAATTAATCGCGATTGATAAGCGTAAATAAAAGACTAATAAAATCAGAAAAACGTAAATAAGAATAAATAAAATCAGGGTTTTTAAATACAAGAGAGCTTGAACTAGATACAAAATCGAAAAAAGAAACAAAAATGTTTTGTGGGTGTAGGCATTTACCACACCAAACAGATTTTTCGTGATTGCTGGTTTGGGGATGCTCAGTTTTTACGTATTGTTTTATATTTTTAGCTATTAGAATTATTTTTGTTGTTATTTATCCACAATTTGGACTAATTTTGCCGCATCGATTAAATTCCTTTAATGCCGGTTTTTGGTGAACTGTCAAGCTTATGTTAATTAATTAGTACAGAAGAGCGCTAGGTTCAATTTTTTTTTTCGTGAAACACAAAAATTTTAATATCGGTAGAAATGCTTGTTATTAGTTTCAATTTAATTGCCCAGATTTTAAGCCTTAAAAACAAAGGTTTCGATTTTAAAAAAAATGCTATGCTAAATTCAGGGCAATCAACTACTGCCCAAAACTCGATGAGATCCATGGCACACTCCTGAAGGACAACCTGAAGATGCAAACATTGTAATTTTTTGAAATTCACAAACTAGGAAAATCGATGCCTTTTTTACCAAATTTTAGGATAATACGTAACACCGGCTTGAAGACGATGCCGCAGCTGCAAATGACCTATCGCAATAAAATGGAGGTAGCCTAAACATATTTCTACTAACCAGCGTTACGCAAAAATGCTTCGAAAATCCGTCGTTTTGATAGTTTCGATTTCTGAATAATATTTACATATCGATGATCGATGGTTTCTATTTCACGATTCTTTAATTTTTTAAGGTGATTTAATTGACCTTAAATTCAATGTAAAAAGCAGAACGATTCTAAACGGAATAATAAATTTTTTGAAGGGTTATTTTATTTCTACGCCATAATTCCAGGTGGAAGTCGACCTCTCCCATAACCATCTGCAATTCATCGGCAAAGAGCGCATCAGGGACCTCCGAGCCTCATTACTACGGTAATTATAGAAAAAAAGGAATTAACGTGTTTGTGAAGCCTTGGAAAAAATCTGTATTTTGGAACTCAATTCATGTCCAGTGCAAAGATTCGCTAAAACATTTAATTTTCTCATGTGTCTTAAAATCCTTTAAAACTAAAAATATCGGCACAATTTTCAAAGCATTTTTGATGATTGTATTAAACCTATTAGTTTTGTTTTTGCTGCGGTTTCGCGAGTAAGCCTAAAAGTAGTGTAGATAACAATATTAGAGACGAGTTTTTCTTGTTTTTCCAATTTTTCTAAGCGGGTTGAGCGTAAAACCAACAGAGATTCTAGTGACAAATTTCAAATCCACCTAACGATTTTATAAAACTCTTTTTTTTAAAGCTATCCGCCGTGATCAATATTAAGAAAAGGGCGGCGGGACACGCAAATTTGGATTTTGTTGGCTATTGATTTCTATTTTCGGGTGCCTTTTCCTTCGATAATTGATCTGCAATTTCTGGCTCGACTATCAAAATTCTACGAAACATTTATTCTCCAATTCATTGCAAAATCTTACAATATTTTTGGCCGACGATTCCAGGCCTTGTTTATAGCGCTCAAATCTTCAGACAATTTTCCATATGGGGTGGTTGGTGAACAAAAAATCGGAATGGTCCGGAATCAAATTCAAGCCGCTTATGACGGAAGAAAAAATTGCTCCAGAAATCCCTTGGCGGGCCTCTCCATTCTATCAAACATATTTTCACAAATTGCCTCCTCCGCTAAAACATGAAGGGCGAGCAGTATTGAATTTTGTATCTGTTACCCAATTCGTGCGAATAATTAAGCAGCGCTTTCTCGATCAAATACGAAAGTCTTCCGAAACATTTGTTCTTCCAAACACGCAAAATTTCCTTCAAGCGCTACTCTGACTGCAGTTTCTTGAAATAATTTATTTGATTTTATTTCGTCTGTTAACGGGCCTTAGTCATTTATCGGAAGGCGATAAAGACTGAATGAATTTATCGATAGAGCGCAATGAATTTTTTAAGGTTTAAATTTGCCAAGAAATGGTGAAAAGGAGATCACACGACAGATTTTTGGGACCTACTGCCGATTATTTGAAACATTTCACACAAAATCTCGCTTTTTTTGTCTGTAGCTATCTGCAAAAGTTGTTCTTTTCGTCTATAGCTTTCTCTAGAATTGACCGCGACACGCAACGCGCACGCGCGCCGCCTCGCGTTCCTCATAACGGGTCGTAACCGATTACGCGATTGCAATCTGGGCTGCGCGTTGCGTATTGCGACGCGGCAAGGTCCATAGGGAATAGCTAAAAAATCCGAAGTCATGCCTTCTCCGTCCCTTTAAACTGATTTAGACTCGACTACAACAAGCTGCTAGGCATCGAGACGGCCGCTTTTCAGGGCAGTGCTATTATTGCATTGTGAGTTTTTAGCACATATAAAACCTAATTATAAGTGTTATATTTAACTCTTTTACTCCTCACGATATTTTACTTATATTTACAAGCATTAAATGGCAAATCTTCGATGATTATTAAAATCGAAATTTAAAAAATGTTTCTACTATAAAACTTGTTTCGTTAATTCTTCGTTTGTCATTTTTTGTTCCATCGTGAGGGTTTGAGCCGGCCAAAATCTAATTAAAACTGAAATTGAAAAATTATTTTTATGCGGTAAAAATCGTAATTGGTAATTATCTTGTTTACAGAGATGTGTAATGAGGATAATTAAACATAAAAAACTATCGGTCGTTTTTCAGAAATTTTTCCCACAACCCCCACCTCAGCGAGCTCGATTCGGACGCTTTTCGCGACATGGTGCAGCTGAATAAATTGTGGGTTTTCTCGTTAAAATTTTAGCATTTTTGAATAATAATTTTCCTATTCAAGGGCCATGTGTTAGTTATTAAAGTGCATTAGAAGTCAAAATCGGTCAGTCGGAAGTGCACAAAAAATATTTTTGGAGAAAAATGTTTTACGCGGGAGTGATTACCAACAAAATTTTTAGTCTTTAGTTATCCTAACACTTGGGGCATATTCCTGCAGACAGCGTCGAAATATGTAATTTTTAATAAAGAAAATGAGCCTAATTTAATTGCGTAAATAGTCAAGATCATTTCGCACAGGCAGGCGTTTTCCGGTTCACTACAAACTTAAAAAATATAATGCTTCATCTCCCAAAGAATTTCTGCGCCATGCAGTCCAGGTAATCTGGTGTAGGAAGCGTTGCCTCAATTTTCAAAAACGTATTCCATATTTTCGAATTACCGGTAAAACTTGAAGAGCGCTAATTCACAATTCATTCACAATCATAATTTGTCAAACACACGGTGCTTCGCATTAAAAAAATTACAATCAATTAAAAATTCTAAAAAATCAAGAAAAATGGGATAAATCCTGAAAAATCAAATAAAAAGCTTGTTAGGCAAAGCCATATTATTTTTGAATATAGTTTTTATTGTTTAAATAATGACTTTTACCGTAAATCGGATATGATTAGCGTTTCGTCCCCTAATTAAAAAGATCTGATGGCCGTAGTTTGCAGAAAATTTAAAACAATGGAATTTTGCAAAAAATCAGAAAATATGTTTTAGTCAAAAGCAAATTTGAGCGATTGTATTGTGATGCAATTTGTTCCATCAGGTGCTTTAAATTCATAACAACACTTTTAGAGATCTCTCGCATACGGCCCTCCGCGAGCTGCCTACGGTAGGCCTGCGCAACGTCGAACAAGTACAGCTGCGGAACGTCGAAAACCTGAAGAAGCTGCCGCCAATTTTCTCGTTTCGAAAACTGCAGAAAGCCGTCTTCACCTACCCGCATCATTGCTGTTTGTTTAAGGTATATTTAATGTAAAATTTATTTGTTTAATTAAGGTGAATTCTAGGAACTTGGTATATATAAATCTTACACCTATTTTTATGTTTAGTCTCATATTCTAATTGTAATTTAGAAATCAGAAAATTTGCCTAGAAACGTGAATAATTTTTCGTCTACGTGAAAATTAGCGGATTAATCAATTAAAAATAACTTTCAACGAGCTTTTTAACGCAACACATTTTTATAAAATTATTTTGCACATCTTTCTTTGGTTCAAATTTTGGTTAAAAGAAAGCTATAAGATTTAGAATGCATTCGAGAAGAACATATTTTAATACGTTTTAGAATTTGGAAGCGAGATTGTCGTATTTAAAATTTAGTAGATTTTCTTAAAAATCAATCCATAGGTTATGCCAATTGGGCCCGCTCTTTGATTAGATTGGCAATTTAACTTTTAGCAGAGGCTAATCCTGCAACACATTTTTCTGTGGTTGAAATTTTCATTTTTTAACCAGAAGTTAAAAACGAACCGAACAAGTGTTTTATATTAGCGATGCCAAATCGGCCGTAGAATTCGATATTTTACAGGTAGATTGTCCACAAAATACTTTGAATAACTAGCTTTTCTAGTTGCCAGAAAGTTCGACGAAAGAGATATTGCTTGTCCCTGTCGTACATTCTCCCAGCATTTTAAAGAAACACACTATTTTTACACATTGAGTATTTTTATGAAGTAAACTATAAAGTTTAACAACGATTTAAACTGTAATTCACAACGATTTTTTTCAGCACGTCGACTTCAAAGAAAACCTGCAAGAAGCCCGCGAGATCAAGAAGCGCATTTGCAAAGATTTTGCGAAGGCTAGGAAATCGTAAGTGCAATCGATTTGAAAACTACTAACATCGTCTTGCTTAATAGAATTAAGCCGATCATTGTAATGCCGTTTGTCGAATCCATCATCAAAAATTTAACCAAAATCTGCTCTCAAAAATAGATAAAAATTCATCGAGCAACAAGCTCTTGGCGAATAAATGTTACATCCAAAACCATAGAAAAGCCTCGCTTTTTTGATATAATGCGACGCTTGCTTATTCAAACTCGTGCCTTAAATGGACCAGGACCATGTTAATTAACATAAACGTGCAGCTCTACAGAAAGGATTTCTGCTCCTTCTTGCAGAGCTCGTTCTCACTCTTTCCATCTCTCTCTCTCTCTCTCTCGCTCTCTCTCTCGCTCTCTCTCTCTATCTCTTTCTCTCGCACGCTCTTTTATAGCGTAAGGTTAGCTTTTTGTCAATTTTAGATTTACGTGAAGTCATTAGCCCTAATTTCTATATTTTTCAGAATCAATAATTATTATCCATTTTTAGCGCTACTCCAAAAGAGAAAACAACCCTATCCTCAACGACCGCTCCACCCGGAAATGGATCCAAAAATGCGGTAATTTTTGTAGTTATATGAAAATTGTACAAAATGTTTCATACCCACGCCTTGTAAAAAAAGGGCCTTAGCCATGGAATGAAGTCTCGGTCAATGATTGGCTATGTCATTTCCTCAAAGAATCTCTGCTAGCCTGCCCTCCTCTCGGGGTCCGTCCATTTCCTCCTCCAATCTCTGCTAGCCTGCCCTCCCCTCGGGGTCCGTCCATTTCCTCCTCCAATCTCTGCTAGCCTGCCCTCCTCTCGGGGTCCGTCCATTTCCTCAAAAAATCTCTGCTAGCCTGCCCTCCTCTCGGGGTCCGTCCATTTCCTCCTCCAATCTCTGCTAGCCTGCCCTCCTCTCGGGGTCCGTCCATTTCCTCAAACAATCTCTGCTAGCCTGCCCTCCTCTCGGGGTCCGTCCATTTCCTCAAACAATCTCTGCTAGCCTGCCCTCCTCTCGGGGTCCGTCCATTTCCTCAAACAATCTCTGCTAGCCTGCCCTCCTCTCGGGGTCCGTCCATTTCCTCAAACAATCTCTGCTAGCCTACCCTCAATCTTTTTTCTAGGATTTTTTCGAGATGGCGATGGCCCTATTTGAGGCGGATCTCGAGGTGGAGGAGGAGCCGGACTACGATTTGCCACGTGGGTTAAATGCTTATTTTTGTTTCATTCCTGGCAGGCATCTTTTTCGAATTTTGCAATCTCATGGACTCCGACCGACGACTGCCAACCAAAATAATTGTGGCTATTCCTTGGGCAGGGAAACATTTTCCTGTTGCCAATTCTAGGTTTTGGTCTTTTAGCATCATTTTTCACAATCCTACATTCCTATTCCCTTGCTTCTAACGCGTTCTTACCAATTAGCAACCGATAATTGTTTATCTGTGTTTTAGCCATTTTATTAGGATCCGTTAACGCTCTAGTAGGCTTTTTTTGAAGTATGTGCTTTGAAACCAATTTTTTTTTTTGGAAATCGATATGTATACGATTGTATTTTCCCGAGCTTTGCAGTAGTCTTAAAGCAGTGAAACATTGTCCTTTTTCGAAACCCAGTTAAATAACTCATTTTTTCCTAGTGCTTAAAACTTCCAAACTCGAACACTACGGCGCCGGATTGAGCACAAAACGTGCCGAACTTAAGCGGTTTCGGTGAAATTTTACCACCAAAAAATTGTTCAAACTTTACACAAACCTTCTTTATTTTAAGCATTTTTACTGATTTTTATCCTACTATATATAAAAAAATAGTGTCTGTGTGTGTGTGTGTGTGCCACTTTGCATGCAACTTCCGTCAGCGTGTCCGGAGGATATCTCGATAGGGGATGAATTTTAAGGTATGTATGATACGTCATTAGGTGCGTAGTGGCCTGGAGATGACTGCACGCATCTGAGATTCAATAAAATCACCTATTTTCGACATTAAAATTAAGGTTTTGTCAAAACTTCTTTGTTAGAACTAATTAGCATTGACCGGAAGTTGGGATTCGACTATATAAATGGACAGAGAGATAGTTTTTCTTTTTTAGCATCTGAATTTAGAACAATTATGCAAAGTGAAGGATAAAATGGGGTTAGACGGGGCCAGGGTTGAAAAGTCGCGAAGCGGCTTTTCAACCCTGGTCTTACCTAATTAACACAGCACGAAGTGTTTTTTGGCGCATGTACTTTGATACTTAGTTTTTTTGTGACATGAAGCGGCCTTTCTATTGTTTTCTGTTAACTCTACAGGTATCCCTAGAGAAGTGAAACATTGTTTTGTTCTCTGTCATTCGTATACGACATCGAATTTAAATAGCCACGAATTAAAAAAAATCAAACGCTGTGTCCTCAAAGGGAGGTGAGCACGAGCCGTAACGTTTCATCAGTATCCGCTTGCCAACACCACAGTGGTCTTAAGGCAGCGAAACATTGTTTTCTGTCGAGCCTTATTCAAATAAAATAAAAATTTGTTTTTCTGTATGAGCATCTTTGGCTTCCCAGCATTGAAAGTTAGAAACTATATTATGAGAAAAGAAACAACAATATTATCTCTGAACTAGCATTGTTCGAAAAAGTGGACCTAGCCGTCGAACAGAAACATATTTTTTCAATTTTGCCAGATGTCGATTATAGCTTCATTTTTATTGGCTCGAATTTCTTTGCTAATATAGTCGTTTATGATGTGTGGTTCTGATTTTGAACCCTGCCTAATTAACATCGTATTGGCGTTTTTTGAGCATTTTTTTCAACGTGGTGTTTTTGTGCGGTTGGAAAGGAAAAGGTATTATATTTCTCTCTATTTGGCAGTATCCGGGAAAAAATGAAACATTGTTCATTCGCAACTCAACTTTTTCTGCCGCGTTGGTTATTTGCCATAGTCGAAAGCGCTCAGTCAGTTAAAAACTTCCAAAATAAAGTTTTTGGCGGCGTTTTGGTTTGGGGCGTTTTCGGAGTCGAACCTGAGCCGTTTGGATGTGAATTTAGCATAAAAAATGACTAGAATTGTCCAAAACCGACCTAATAACTCTCAAATCATGCAGAAGCAGGAATGGTTTTCCAAGGAACGAGGCATGACACATGGCTCGAAACAGTTTTTATACTGAAGAGCAGGGTTGGTCATTTTCGGATCGGACTGGATCCGGATCTGGATCTGGATCGGATCCGGATCCGGATCCGCCGTAGGATCCGGATCCGGATCCAGATCCAGGACGGATCCGATCCGATCCGGATCCAAGGAAATGGATCATGCAACCGAGTTAAGTGCTAATTCTTATATGCAAAGATCATTTCTGCCTCTGGGCTATGTAGTTTTGCGATTAACATGACCGAATCAGCAACAGAATCGAGAATATTCCTTCCGGTCCCTTTTTTCCTCGGATCCGCATTGGATCCGGATCCGAGCGGATCCGGATCTGGATCTGGATCCGGATCCTACTGCGGATCCGATCCGGATCCGGATCCAGATCCGATCCGGATCCTTACCGATCCGGGTCCATCGGTGAACAACCCTGCTGAAGAGTTGTCCTTCGAAAACCTCCTAATTTTTCAAATTGAATTTATTAGTATTGATAAGTTTTTTATTACTACCAGGGGTTGGAGTATTTCATATCACATCAGTGTTCAAAGTAAAAATGCTTTCTCGGATCCCTTATTGCCTTGTCTTATGTTTCAAAAATTTTTGCTCTTGATTTCATTCTCAGTGGTTTATTCCGTTGAGCTCTCGCATTAGTCAAATTTAGTTATAAATTTTCCGGGTATTAATTTTGAAAGACGGAGAATTGGTACTTTTATTAATGTTAAGCTATTTGTTAATATTAAGCCTTTTTAGAGCATTATATCTAAGCATTATATTAAGCATTACGCGAGAGCAGTAAAATGTCTAAAATACCTTTTAACGAGATAAATTCTAAATTCTAACAATAGATTAATAGAATATTATCGATTGCCTTGCAGCTTTTGAACCGGACGAGCTGGGATTTGCGGGTTGCCTGGAGGAAGAGTCGCTAGAGGTGGTCCGAGAGTTCTACTCCTCAATCGAATGCACCCCCGAGCCCGATGCCCTCAACCCGTGCGAAAATATTGTTGGGTAAGTTAATTTTAATTTAATTTATAATATTGAGTGTGAATATACATTTTCAAAGTAATGAATAAAAAACAGAAAAAGAACATTTATATTTTAAGGCAAAATCGCCTCCGAAAAAGTGTTTCGTATCGAAATTAGAAGGCATTTCAAAATATTGCAGGTATTGGGCGGGTTCGCGAAAGTAAATAATTACAGCGTCAAAGTATTAAAAAAGCGTAATAGTCGTGAATTATATTAAATTAAACTTTCGATTGTTAAAAATCAGAATTAAAAATAATGTGTTTCCATTTTCCCAAAGGAGGAACCGCTTTTGTCAGGTCAATGAGTAGTCGTTAACAGCAAACTAAGGAAAATATTGCGGGGTAATTTACTCTATTTAATTTGTAATTTTGGTTATGTCTAATCGATTTGACAAGTGATCTTGTAAAACAAAAGAAAAAGAAAATTCAGAGTTAACCAAAAAAATTGAAGTAAAGATGTTTGACTTAAATTAGAAGGTATTCCATTTCAATGAAGGTATCCAGGATTACCCATTTTTAACCAATAAGCACCGAAGCCAAAATATTCAAAGCAAACATCATATTCGCGAAGTTTATCAAATTAAATTTTGGCTTCCAAAAAACCGAGAATTAAAAATAATGTCTTTCCATTTTCCCCAGGGGGAAAACCGTCTTTGGCAGTCGAATGCGTATTTGTTAAAGGTACACTAAAGCCTCGTTGGTTTGGTTACCGGCCGGTAACCGTCCGCGGAATAGCAAACAGGGTTACGGTAGGTGCTCGCCTCGGAGCAAAACCGAACCCGCGCCACTCGCCTAGGGCGAACGCTTTAGACCACTAGGCCATGGGACAGACGGTAGAGTGGAGAGGGAAGGGGGATAAGAAGGATCCGGGCGTTGCGCGACAGAGGGCCGGGATTTCCGACCGCGAACTGACTTTTGCACGAGATTTTAGTGTACCTTTAAGCGCGTCCCAATAAAAATATTTCGGGTAAACGAATTCAATTGAATTTATAATATTGATCCTGCTTAATCGATGTTAAAATTAAGTGTATAAAGCGCAAGAGGAAGAAAATAAAAATTAATCAAAAAACTGAAATAAAAAATGGTTCTTTTGGAAATTAGAAAAAAGGTGTTTCTATTTTTTAAGGGGTTGACATTTTTTTTGTCATGCCAATGTTTTGTGTGTGTCGTGAACAGCCTACTATTTTTTTGATTTATCGCTTTTTATGGGTTATACGGATTGTTAATTCCCTGTCAGGACTTTTGGGGTGCCGATTTTACAAAGATTTTAGCTTTGTATGTCCCGTATCCCACCTTATATAATTTGGTCGCGTATGTGTGTGTGTGTGTGTGGATGTCACTTTCGAGGCCCGATTTGAGGGCCTTCCCGTGCATAAAATGCCCTAATTCTCCGTCACCCGGGGGAATCGACCCTTCTGTTTCCGATGGCGTTCTCAGAATTTCGATAAAATACAAGTTTACAAAGTTAAGGCCGGTTTTATTCATTTTTGGGGGTCCGCGAGGGCTAATTTGCATAATTCGAGAAAATACAAATTTCCTCATTCTTGCCAGTTGCACTCGCGCGTTTGGCTGCCTCATTCGAGCTGCCTCCGATTGCCTTTGCTCCCCTTTCCCGGCAGTCACCTCGGGGCATACAAGGGGTGTTGCGCGCGTGCTCCCAAGCATTTCAAGGTATAGCGGTTAGAGCGTCAGCCTGCCAATCTTGCTATCGGGGGTTCGATCCTCGGGTGTCGTAGGTGTTTTGCTTTTTGCTCGGAAAGTGCGTTTCGGAGTGGATTTCCGTGTAGGGACGTTATTATGAGGTCAGTCGCTCAACACTGCGCCGCAGCCTAAAGAATGAAGCTACCCTCTCAGGCTTTAGAACGAAGCTAGCCGTACAAGCTAGCGCCGCAGGCTTTGAAACGAAGCCAGCCGCTCAAGCTAGCGCCGCAGGTTTTAGAACGAAGCCAGCCGCTCAAGCTAGCCCGGCAGGATTTAGAACGAAGCCAGCCGTACAAGCTAGCGCCGCAGGCTTTGAAACGAAGCTAGCCGTACAAGCTAGCGCCGCAGGCTTGGAAACGAAGCCAGCCGCTCAAGCTAGCGCCGCAGGTTTTAGAACGAAGCCAGCCGCTCAAGCTAGCCCGGCAGGATTTAGAACGAAGCCAGCCGTACAAGCTAGCGCCGCAGGCTTTGAAACGAAGCTAGCCGTACAAGCTAGCGCCGCAGGCTTTAGAACCAAGCTAGCCGTACAAGCTAGCGCCGCAGGCTTTGAAACGAAGCTAGCCGTACAAGCTAGCGCCGCAGGCTTGGAAACGAAGCTGGCGGTACAAGCTAGCGGCGCAGGCTTTAGAACGAAGCTAGCCGTACAAGCTAGCGCCGCAGGCTTTAGAACGAAGCTAGCCGTACAAGCTAGCGCCGCAGGCTTTAGAACGAAGCTAGCCGTACAAGCTAGCGCCGCAGGCTTTAGAACCAAGCTAGCCGTACAAGCTAGCGCCGCAGGCTTGGAAACGAAGCCAGCCGCTCAAGCTAGCGCCGCAGGTTTAGAACGAAGCCAGCCGCTCGGGCTAGCCCGGCAGGATTTAGAACGAAGCCAGCCGTACAAGCTAGCGCCGCAGGCTTTGAAACGAAGCTAGCCGTACAAGCTAGCGCCGCAGGCTTGGAAACGAAGCCAGCCGCTCAAGCTAGCGCCGCAGGTTTTAGAACGAAGCCAGCCGCTCAAGCTAGCCCGGCAGGATTTAGAACGAAGCCAGCCGTACAAGCTAGCGCCGCAGGCTTTAGAACCAAGCTAGCCGTACAAGCTAGCGCCGCAGGCTTGGAAACGAAACCAGCCGCTCAAGCTAGCGCCGCAGGTTTTAGAACGAAGCCAGCCGCTCAGCTAGCCCGGCAGGATTTAGAACGAAGCCAGCCGTACAAGCTTAGCGCCGCAGGCTTGAAACGAAGCTAGCCGTACAAGCTAGCGCCGCAGGCTTGGAAACGAAGCCAGCCGCTCAAGCTAGCGCCGCAGGTTTTAGAACGAAGCCAGCCGCTCAAGCTAGCCCGGCAGGATTTAGAACGAAGCCAGCCGTACAAGCTAGCGCCGCAGGCTTTGAAACGAAGCTAGCCGTACAAGCTAGCGCCGCAGGCTTGGAAACGAAGCCAGCCGCTCGCCAGCGCCGCAGGTTTTAGAACGAAGCCAGCCGCTCAAGCTAGCCCGGCAGGATTTAGGAACGAAGCCAGCCGTACAAGCTAAGCGCCGCAGGCTTTGAAACGAAGCTAGCCGTACAGGCTTAGCGCCGCAGGCTTGGAAACGAAGCCAGCCGCTCAAGCTAGCGCCGCAGGTTTTAGAACGAAGCCAGCCGCTCAAGCTAGCCCGGCAGGATTTAGAACGAAGCCAGCCGTACAAGCTAGCGCCGCAGGCTTTGAAACGAAGCTAGCCGTACAAGCTAGCGCCGCAGGCTTGGAAACGAAGCCAGCCGCTCAAGCTAGCGCCGCAGGTTTTAGAACGAAGCCAGCCGCTCAAGCTAGCCCGGCAGGATTTAGAACGAAGCCAGCCGTACAAGCTAGCGCCGCAGGCTTTAGAACCAAGCTAGCCGTACAAGCTAGCGCCGCAGGCTTGGAAACGAAGCTAGCCGTACAAGCTAGCGCCGCAGGCTTGGAAACGAAGCTGGCGGTGCAAGCTAGCGGCGCAGGTTTTAGAACGAAGCCAGCCGCTCAAGCTAGCGCCGCAGGCTACCGGATAAAGCCAACCATTGAAGCTAGCGCCGCAGGCTAAGGAAGCAGGTAACCGCTCGAACTTGCGCCGCAGGCTTTCGCTCGAAGCAAACCGCTCAAGCTGGGGCCGCTGGATAAGAATCTGGCCGATCAAGCATGCGCCGCAGGCCTAATAACGACACTAGCAATTTAAGCTTGCGCCGCATGTCAATACAAGGAGGTTTGCATGGGAGGTGCGTTTATCTTTCTTCAGAGTAACTGTATTTGGAAGGGCGCTCGATTGAAAGGGCCTAGACGGGGCCAGCGGGGGAGAGTCGCGAAGCGGCTACTCCTCCGCTGGTTTTATTAAGAAAAATAATAGCTAACCAAACACATTGTTTATCATTATCTATCGAGTTCTCAGAATTTTTTTAGAAAATATGTTTCTTACCAAGATCGAAAATTCACGCTTAAAAATTTTCCAATGTGCCGGCGGGCATAGATGATTTGATTTGTAAAATTCCGTAAGCTTAGGTTCTGGCGGCGCTAAGGTCATAAAAAAAAATAATAAAGCCAACAATTCCGTGGGAACGGATTCACAAAAATCAGATGTTTCGTCAATCTGAAGGAGTGAAGAGGTTTTGTTAATTGACAGTTTATTGACGAGTTCATTCATACGAGCATTCATAAACGGAAAATACGAGAATTTCAAGTAAAAAGTCTAAAGAATGTTCAAACAAATCTGTTTAGAAAATCTGGTGTAAATCAATATTTTTGCATGCAACTTATATACTTTGTAAGGGGGATACGTTTAGGAATCGTAAAAAAGGCTACAAAACTTTCTCAATTTCTGAGAAAAAAATTGGATAGGAAAGAAAAATTTACCCCCCCCCCCGATAATGCACAAAAACCAACAAGAAGTAAAGGAGATTTACGGGATCCGCAAAATCAGAGTGAAAATGTGTTTCTGATTTTTGAAGGGAGATGGATGGTTATCGTTAATGACGCCTGCATTTGTGAAGTCTAGATATTGTCGGCCATGACCCTCCGTGTTTTTCCGCGCCTGCGATACGCAACGCGCACGCTGGTTTACGTTGCGTAACCGATCACTCATTTACGGCCACCGTGGTCGACCCGTACCCGGGTTTCTTGCCGCGAAGAGGCAAAAATCATAGGCTTTGCCTGACGGTCTTTCGAAACAGAGTTTATCGGTTTTTAACTACTGTCTTTATGCTCAACAAAAGAAGCCAACGGTTCACGTTTGGAATAAAAGTCTTAAAAAGGCGTTTCATGAGATCAATTATAAGCCAGGGTGTCGTTAATCACAGTAAAAGTCGGACATTCACAATAGTTTAGATTCTTTTGGCTGAATTTAATAATTTAAATTTTATAAGGATTGTCGTTACATCGAAAATTGTTTATTTCCGACGTTATTTTCAGGTATCCCCTCTTGCGACGGGCCATTTGGGTGGTGTGGATTGCCGCAATCGTCGGAAATGCCCTGGTTTGGTGTGCTTTTTAACCATTTTTTTAGCTTTTAGGCAGCAACCATCATTCGTCCGTATTACATCTTTCAATACTCAATACGGTTAATTTAAAAAATGTCTTACCCTAAATGGAATTAAATTCTGTGAAAACTATGCGGAGAACCGAAATTGAATCGGCCAGCTGCCATTTTTGACCCATTGGGTTTTTGCAATTCACAGTGTGGCCTAAAGTTCTTGAAGCACCTTTCCAAGGAGGTTGTGGATTGAGGATATAGTATGAAAAGGCGATGTCCCAGTCACCCGAACTAACCAGGTACAGTTTTTTCGAACACATTCTTTTGACGCCATCTGAAAGAGCGGCTAGGGTACAAGTAGGGTGCATGGTTTTGAAAGTGTAAAATGTTGATTTTCGGGGTTTGACTGACTGTTAAAGTTGCGTACCACGAAAAACTATCTCGAAAACCACTGATCAGAAAAATCTGAAAATTTGTGACAATGCTAATTCAAGGGTGCTGATCATTTTTCTAATGAATGGCAGCAACTGAAAGTGACTGGAACATGGTGAAATCGTGTACTCAAAAGGGTTTTTGCGATTTGCAGGAGTAGGACAGCCGGCCGCTGCGCGCGAAAATTCTGCACCGAATGGTGTATCGCTTATGGAGCGGCCAGCTGTCCACATATCTTAAAAATGCGTTTATCTGCCAAAACGGCTTGATTCTGCAGAAGTCGTCGTTTTCGCAGAATCGCACTTTCAATTGTTGCAATGGATTAGACAAATGATCAGTGCCCTTGAATTAAATATTGTCACAAATTTTCAGATTTTCCTGATCCGTGGTTTCGAAACGCGACTTTAACAGTCGACTTTATTTCTGAAAATCAACATTTTTAGAACTTTCAAAACTATGCACCCCCTACTAATTCAACTACGCTCTTTCAAATGGCGTCAAAAAACAGGAGTAAAAAAACTGTACCAAACTAGTAGCTGTGCCGTTCAGGGGACTCGGAAACCGCCTTTTAAATCTCTATCAACTAAATCTAATCTAGCTTCTCAAGATGACTGAAAGTTAACGATCTTTTAGAATCGCTCACATGCACAATCGATTAGCCGATTTAAAATGCTTGCAGGGCAATTTAATTTGAAACATATAATTCCACAAAATTTCGGAATTTATTTTTCAAAAGTTCAAGCTTTCATTTTTAGCTTGCTAAAAGCTTTTGAGTGATTTCAAAACCTTGAAAACATTCACGAAAAGCTCAAAAGTAGCAATTTTCCAATTTTTATAAGGTAAATGCAATGTGAAACATAAAAATGTAGCGATAGCCAGGCCCGCGATAAAAACATGAGTTCCAGCCATTCTTACAGCCGGAAATTTTCTTTGATTATAATGTTACCCTCAATCAAGGTTCCCAAAAAAATAATTTTCTACTTGGCGGAAATTAGGATTCGGACGTTACATTTCTAAATGCTTGAGCTAGATACTTTTAAAAATCAGGGTCGAAAAACCGATTTTCGACGAAACTGAAAATATCGACATGATGAACTCAAAGGTTTGAATTTCATAAAATCGATTTTCCACAAGCTAATGCAAAATCATACAAATTATTTGCATTAATATAATCGATCTTATTATTAGTATGGCATTAGAAAATTAGTATTAGTAAAATTAAATAATAAAAATAATCGGTATGTTTGCAGATCGTGCTTTGGATGGCGTACCAGTAGGAGTGCGTCCACTACCTCTTTATGTTGAATTAAGCGTGGCCGATATGGTGAGAGGTTGTATAAATATTTTAAGCCTAGAAAATGCTTTGTTTAATTATTCTCTTTTCATTATTTAGTTAAGTAAGCCACGGTGGGGAAGGATATCAGGAAATCTCGAGTGATCTCTTGCGCTCGAGCAGATTATTTTGCGTTTTTAGCGCATTCTAATAGTGGTATGTGAAACATGAAAATTAAGGTTTTGAAAGCACTCATTATATAATTTTTCCAGTTTTATGTAATATTGAAAATTCCGTTAATATGAATAAAAAAGCTCATTAAACTTCTAAAAATGTAGTGTTAAACTTTTTAAATTTGATAAAAAATTTGAATTTAGGTGTGTACCTAGCCCTGCTGTCCATCGAGGACAACCAGACGGCCGATGAATATTATCGATATGCGGTTGGGTGGCAGACTAGATGAGTATTTAAAAAACCGGTTTTATAACGACCAAACAACTAAAAAAAAGAATGAGAATTTCGTGAGTAATTTCTTCCGGGATCATAAAAAATGTTTCAAAAAATTTCGTAATCCATCAGTCCCGGCCCTCCATAATAAAATCAGACCACCAGAAGACTACAAAAATTTGGAAGCCTAAAGAGGTAACCCTGGTTTGACAAATTTACCGCTAATTTACCGCTACTTCCCAGGCTTCAAAACGCAACATTTTTATGCCCAAGCCTATACTCGATTTTATAACGGCCAAAAACATATCGAAAATCAGAACTGATTTCAGAACGATCCTCGTAAATCAATGCTTCCAAAAATTCACAAAAAAATATGCGCAGACCTGTATCCATGGCACCAAAACCTACCAAGGTCCGGAAATTCCAGATCATTTAAAAATACCCATGTAAAACTGTGTTTCAAAAATGACTTTCAAAGGCCTCGATGGTTTTCCAAATATTCCATGCTTTTGGCAAATAGTCATGTTGGAAGCTTATTAAGGGCGAATTATTGGCGGCCTACTTATTATACTTTTTTAGTTGGGGTTGCGCAACGGCTGGATTTTCGCCGTCTTCGCTTCACAACTCTCGATTACCTCTATGTTCTTCATTGCTTTCGAAATGGCGTACAATACCAGGTGAGGCAGGCTACAGAGATTGTGAGGAGAGGAGGACGGACCCCCGAGAGGAGGGCAGGCTAGCAGAGGTGTTTGAGGAAATGGACGGACCCCGAGAGGAGGCAGGCTAGCAGAGATTGGAGGGAGAAATGGACGGACCCCGAGAGGAGGGCAGGCTAGCAGAGATTGTTTGAGGAAATGGACGGACCCCGAGAGGAGGGCAGGCTAGCAGAGGTTGGAGGAGGAAATGGACGGACCCCGAGAGGAGGGCAGGCTAGCAGAGGTGGAGGAGGATGGACGGACCCCGAGAGGGAGGGCAGGCTAGCAGGGTGGTTGAGGAAATGGACGGACCCCGAGAGGAGGGCAGGCTAGCAGGGGTTGGAGGAGGAAATGGACGGACCCCGAGAGGAGGGCAGGCTAGCAGAGATTGGAGGAGGAAATGGACGGACCCCGAGAGGAGGGCAGGCTAGCAGGGATTGGAGGAGGAAATGGAGCCAGTGAAAATATTCGAAGCCCCGTCAATGTAGCTCTCACTAAGAAAATCACCATTTTTGGATAGGGTAATTCTACAAAACATTTTTTCTTTAATTCTCATGATTTTCGACAATGCAGTTCGGAATGCCGATAGAGATTCTTTAGGAAAAGCTCTATTTTAGGAAAGCAATCTACGGTCGCCACAACAGGCAGAGCTTCAGAATACTGATAGCAACAGTCGGCTATGTTTTAGCAGCTGTTATGGCGGCCCTGCCGCTTTTGGTATGTAAATTTTGAGTTTGTTGGGCACACGCCAGCACAGATCACTTTCACATTTTTGTTAATGTGATCTAAATGAGCCAATTGTCGTAGATTCTAGGCCTAAACTCGCGCATATCCAATAAATAAAGTGAAACACATTTTTTATAAATCTATTTTTCCAAAAAATATGTTTTGAATGAATATAATACTAATGAAAATTCAGTGCTCAATATTTTGCATATCTTCTTAAATCAGTAAAAATCCGCAATAGTCACACAGCTC